TTACATACAGCAGAGACTGCGTGATAACAAAATACACAAAGAAAGAACTTAGCTCAGTCTGCTGGAAGCCAGTTATGATCAATTTCCATCTATTATCGTATTAAGTGGGAAAAAAAGTGGAAAGTTTTCCCTCTACAATCAAGAGTCAGAGAACGATGCCCGCCGTCATCAATTCTATAAATACGGTCTTTCAAACGTTAACCAGAGACATCAGACAAAACAAAAATATCTAGATGATGAGTGTAAGAAAGAACTAACTCAGAGTGCCGTTATTTGCTAATGAGATTGTCATCCATTTATAGACCCAAAACGAGCCAGCAAAATACACTTATAATTCAAGAACATAACAGGCTATAAGATAAACACATAAATATTAATGGTGTTCATCTACACTAATGATAGAATCATCAAGAAAGAAATTAGAAAAACAATGCCATTCATAGTAGCATCAAAAATTATATACTTAGGAATTAACATAACTAAAGAAGGTTAACAGCTCTGTGACAAAATTATATCTCTGTGATAAAGGAAATCATGGAAGACATTAAAAGTGCACAAATATCCTCTGTTCCTGGTTAGACAGAATCACTAGAATTCAACTAACCATTCTTCCAGAACTTACGCAGATTAACTCAACCCCAACCACATATGAACGTCATTTGTCTCAGAGTTAAAGAAAACAGTTTGAAAATGCATATGGAGTAGGAAGAAATCTAGGCCAGTAAATGCTGGAGAAAATCATCAAAGGAAGGGGATTTACAATTCCAGAATTGAAGTTATGTTATAAAGCTACTGTGATTAAAACAATATGACACAGACACCAGAACACTCCTATGGATAAGTGGAATACGATAGATTAATCAAAAGAGCCTTAAGCACTGTCTCACATCTGGTCTCTGGTAGAGATGTCCAAAATAAACAGGAGAGGGAAACATCTTGTTTAAAAGATGATACGGGGAAAATCAGCTCTCTGCATGCTGAAGCTTGAGTTTACACATGTGTAGCTAATCATGCACTACAAAAATAACAGTGGATCAAAGATTTAAATAGAAAATAGAAATGTGTAATCTACTGGAAGGTAAGCCATGCAGAACTCTTGGAAATATTCACAAAGGCAAAGACTTTATGAACCGCAGACCAGTGGCACAAAAAAATAATGCTGAAGATGAACACACACTGTGAGCAAAGAAAAAACATTCTTCCTAGTAAAGCAAACAACCAATGGGAAAAATGACATCAGGATTTCCTTGGGCAGAGAGCTAACATCTAGACTATATGATGAATTACGAAAAGTTAGATTCATAAAACATGGTCTATTTTAAAAAGAAGCAAACGGATTGGTAGGCAGACACTTATGCTCAGTGGCATAAGCTCCTGCCTACCAAGCAGCAGGTTGTGAGTTCAATCCACGGTACCATCTCCCCTTGGAAAAAAAAAAAGAATCAAAATAAATCAGTAATTTTTTTTTTCCCTGAGAAAGAAATACAGTGGCATAGACCCTGTGTGATAAGCACAGGATTCTGAGTTTGATTCCTGGTAATAAAGAAAATAGTCAATAAATTTGTGAAAAACTTTTCCACACACACGGGTATTAGAGAAATGCCAAGGAGAACACCATTATGCTAGCAAACGATACCGAAATTATAACAAATATTAGAGGTGATGAAAGAAAAATCCACATTTGCATTGTTGGTAGAAATGTAAATTTGCACAACTACCATGGAAATAAGTGTGGAGATTCCCTAGAAAGCTACAACCAGAAATACTGTCTCACCTGGTCTGTTTGCTTTCATTTATAAGCCCAGAACAACTATAAACATCATCTCACGTGGATACCATCAGCGGGCATGTAAAATTACATATTCATAAGTATATCAGCCCAATACATGCAGATCAATCTTGAAAATGTTGTATTTGCTCATGAGCAGATGAATGGGTAAAGAAAATTAACATTTCTACACAAACACAGTGTTTGCATAACTTAATGAAAATTATTTATTTTTTCTTCATACTTTTGTGGAATTCACCAAGGTGCTGTCCAGTGCTGGTGCTCAAGTGTGACAAATTTTATTCTTTTTTTTTTTTTCCTGGTTGTGTCTTATAAATTGATATTGACCAGTTCAGATTTTCTATGATCCGTACAGTTTTGTGAGCAGACTGTAATCGTTTTTTTTTTTTCATGTATCCTCCACTATCAAAGTCATTGAAATAAAATAGATCACAATAATATCTAACCACGTTTTGGATTCTGGTAGTGAATTTATACCAGATTTCTTTGCAACTCTGAATTCCTATATTTGAATACTCTCTCCAATATTTTTTCGAGTCTGTCAATCTTTTGGAAGAGCTGGTTCTATTTCATTAATGTTTTTCACTTTTATCCTAAACCTCTTTTACTTTTTTTGTGTGTATCCTACTAAAGTTCTATTTAGTTGTGTGCCTGCTTTTCTGCTTCTTGAGATGAAGTTGTAGGTTGCTTCTCTGAAATTTTTCTGTTTTTCACATCTCGGTATTCTTCATTATAAAATCTCCTTAGTACTGATGTTTTTGTACTGTATACTCTACAGTACATTTTCCATTTTTGCAATGTCATTTCTTTTAAAATTTATTCTAATATCAGATTTTTTCTTGATTCATTACTTTTGGAAGAGGAGATTGTTTAATTTTCATGTATTTGACCACTTTGCAAGTTGTTCTTGTCATGATTTCTAACACTGTTTTGCGTGGTTCATGAAATGTACTCAATCAAATTTCTTTACATTGTTCAAATCACAGACAGCGGTTTTGTGGTCTTCGTAGGATCAATTCTAGAAGATGTTCCATGCAGTGATGAGACAAACATGTATCGCTCACATATTAGATGGAATTTTGGTAGAAAACTCTTGGGTGAGACCATCTCCTTTTGATTTAAATCAGATGGTTTTCTTTTGGAATTTTGTCTTGATGATGTGTGTTCAATACCGAGGGGGCAGTATAGTTATTCATAAGTATGTTTAAACATTGTTGATCGAGTCCATCTATCTGTGTAGATTTATTCATAATTTAATATTCTCTCTCTTTGTATATACATATCTGTATTTACATATATGATTTATATATTTGCATATATATGTATTTCTTCCTGCTGAATCCATTACAGACATCGACACCAGGTAGAAATATTCTAGGCACTCAGACAGGGTTCGACCCTCAAAGGAATCAGTACAGAGTCATAGAATATATTACAGATATGTTTGGAGGTGACTCTGTTGGAGACCAGACCCCAAGATAAAGACACCATGACCAGGCCCACATGCCTCCCTGAGGGCCAGGCAGTGTACCGTCACTGGTATGACCTGGTCCAATAAACTCTAGAGAGACACCAGTCCGTCACCTAGATGGGTCACCAGGCCCTCCTGAGTGTTCTCTTCCCAAAAAGCCCTTTCCGCACACACTCTCTACACGACCTGTTTCCAACTTGGTCAACATTACTCAGGGAGGCACGGCTGTAATCTTATTAACTAGTTTCATCCAACCTTATACCCACCCCATGATTTGCTGCCCACCTCGTGACTTTGCTGTATAAAACTTGGTTTGATGATTGACTTCTCTGCACCTCACTTGGGCCCCCTCCTGTCTCTCAGGCTCTGGCTCTCTCTCCTTCCGTAAGTATGTCCTACTCTTCACCTCTATCTTTCCTAAGAATTCTTCACTCAATCGTGGGAAACACAAACTCAACATATCTGACACTTAGCTTCTAAGAAATACATGCTTCAGTTCATTTTTGTTCTTTCAATCACTATGTGTCTTCATAATTTAATCAAGTCTCCATGCAACATTTATTAATGACTAAGCTTTACCTACAGGTATTATGTACTTTGTTTACTGTTTTTGACTTTCTGTCTCAATCATAATCTCTATTTATTACTTTTGCAGTGTGCATTCTTATATCTTTATATACCATGTTTAGTGATATTTCATAGTGGAACTTCTGTTCAGTAAGACATTTTAGGTTATAACATTCAGAACATCTGTAGGCTGATTATCTTGGGACTGTTGTGGACTGTTGGCATTATTTACTTGTCTCTGAGGGGTCTTGGAATTATTGAAGTCTCTGGTGTGAGTTATCGGGAGGACTTGTATTTAGATTTCCCCTCAAAGCCTCGTATGATCGTTGGCTGACTTTTGCAGAAGTGGCCGGATCCAAGGTGTATGAATGTGAATAAACTGTATGATGTCATTTCTTGGTTTAGCATTTTGGGGGGTGTGTCAGTAATGGGAAACCCTGTCCTCAGGGTAGGTGGCACCAACCCCTAAGATTGCAGCCTTGATGAATTGGGAAGGGACAGAAATAAGACAAATTTCCTATTTTCTGCTCCTCCTGCATGGACTGTTTCTCCACTGCCATCCCCTCTGCCATGTCACTCTGGCTTGGAAACAGCCAACTCTGGACTGAAACATCTATGGACATTTAGATGAGGTAAACATTTGCTCCTCTTCTCTGTGAGCATTAGATATCTTGTCTCAGAAATGGGAAAAATATATACAAATAGAAACCTTCAAAATGATGCTGGTGCAATGTCCCCCCCCCCCCCGCCTTTTTTTCCTGGTACTGGGGATTGAACTCACAACCTCATGATTGCCAGGCAGGCGTTTATGCCACTGAGCTAAACGTCCAACCCTTTTCCCATTATTTTAATCAGGTAGAGTTTCTGGATTATAACATAACCATCTCTCTCATGATCGAAAAACAAAGCTATTTTTCCTTTGAGCCTTTTTCATTATTTCATGGAACTCAAATCCATCATGATTCATTTAGATTTCCTGTCACCGTAGCATACCCAGAGATTGGTTCATTCCTCGTCAATCCTAGGTCCATATCTTATGATTGATTCAAGTATATATTTCCCCGCACAATAAACTGAATATTTGTGTCAGATCTATGTGAGTTTCAAATGATGTCAATTTATTTAATTAACAAGGATGCAGAAGCAGCAAGCAGATTATAGAAGAGGAGAAGGAGATCAGCCTATTGGCTGATGATTTCATAGGAAAGAAGAAAGTACAATTGGAAAGCACAGATGATTGGATCCACACATCGATGATTCGGACATCGTGGAGAAGACTCTCGTCAGTACACATTGCTTGTTTTCATCTGGGAACATAAAAGAGGAAGTTAAAATGTAGCTGACTGGTTTCATGACATGATGTTCAGGAGCCTAGAAATGGAAGTAAAATCTATTGTTGGGGAACCAACTGGACAGGATGTCATACACAAGGCAGTTCATAGGACTCCAGCTACGTGTGACCTGTGCAGATTCCACGGGAGCCGTGTTCATAGGAAAGCAAAGAATTTTGCATGACCCTGTACCTAAAGTCACCTTGACAATATATACCTTCACGGTGTATATTGGTACTGACAACTCATTGACTATATATAAATTCATGTCATAAATGGCTTCTAGATTCCCATCTGCAGTTGCCAATAATTTTGGCACAGACAAATTGATGTTTCACTCTGGAATTCATCAAGACTCCTGATAGTTCACAATGCAGAAATGAGTCTATTTTACAAAAATCACTCTCCCTGTTCACATGAGAAAAAGCTCCTGCAGGTTCCCCTGGATCTGTGTTACATTTCAGGTGATTTCTCCACGTGCGGTATCCAAAACCACAATTTAAAGAGGGACTGTGTGCCAAGAATATACGGCAAACACCGTATTCTTCATAAAAGTTCACAAAATGGTCAATTCTGCTGACATGAGTTTGTACTCACCCAAGTGAGAGCTTTAATCTGGGCAGGTGTCTGTAGACAAAAATAAATACATGAACGGGATAGGAACAGACAAAAAGGGTCATTGTTGTTCTTCAACTGACCGAAGGCTTTACAATAACATAGTAAATGAAGCATAATTTTAGAGTTATGATACCGAATTGAAACGTCTACTGTGTTTTCATTCCAAACGCATTACTGTGGGAAGCCGTGCGGTCACCCTACCTGTCTCGATGACGTATCTGATGTTTTCCAGGGGGATACCCGCATTCTGAACCGCCTTCTGAAACTTCTGTTCTTGTTCGGGTGTCAGGAAGTTTCTTTTGGCTGTGTTTCAGGAGAGATAAGGCACAGCACAGGTCCTTAGGGTGCTGCCTGTCCTCAAAGCACTGTGTTGGTTTGACATAGTGAACCCCACCATGTCACCCTCCCACCTCTGGCAGGGAATCTTAAGTGATAGACGGTGGAGTCCACACAGTGAACCTCACTTTCCAGTTCCCAGGACTACGGAAGACTCATAGTCACCAACACTCATCTGTTTGGTGAATCTCAGGGTCCTCAGATGGTATGCGATCTGCAAACACATCCAGGATGTGAAGGTGGCTGAGGATATTGTGTCTGAGGAGCTGACTCTGATACGCCTCTGCTTTACAGGCTGGCAAGCTGAAGTTTTGTCACTGTTAGAGTAATTGCAATTGACTGAAGTTTTCAAAGTTGAAATGAACCCAGCCAAAGACTATGAGAAACAACGTGTTCTTGTGAATTTGAAGCGCCCTCTGAATTTGCTTGGTGACACAGTCCAATCTGTGTCTATCAGTTTGTCAGCCAAAGTCCAGTATATCTATCTATCTATCTATCTATCTATCTATCTATCTATCTATCTATCTATAGATATAGATATAGATATAGATATAGATATAGATATTGCTTCTCCAGAATATTTATCATCTTTGTTTACAGTTTTTTAAAGAGGCAGTTGGGACACCAGTCAACTTGTTACATTTATTTGTTTTATTATTTTGGTCTTTTTCCTTTTTATTGGTACCGGGGATCGAACTCACGACTGCCTGCTTGCAAGGCAGGCGCTTATGCCGCTGAGCTAAATCCCCAGTCCCCTATTTATTTTCTTAGACAATTTGTCAGCATCTCTGAATTTATTGCATTTTGCACACGTTTTCAAGGTAGTTCAATTAATGAAATAATGTCAAAGCCTGACTCCCCGTGCAGCTGAACACGTCCATGACGGTGCTGGATATATATTTCACTGTCAGAGAACCCACTTCAGAACCTACCAGCGATTGCAACTTCTTTTGTTGTCTGTCCATTTTGATCCGTGTTGACACTACCTATTACGAAGGCATCATCACTGTTGCAAAGAATTTGGAAAGTGTTTTCACCAGCGTCTATAATTGAAGGAGAAAATGGTTTTAAATGTGCCATGCACTTATTTATTCTCGTTCTTGTCTTGACCCTTAGTTGAATCATGCTAGCATTGATGATTCCTTCAACAAAGGTTATTTCCACAAACCTTCCACCAACATGTTAAAAATTAAGTGTGACCACCACACAGGTCTGGATGCATTTTGCATATTACTTCCTTTACACAGAGAACATTTCCAGCCTCAAATTTCATCAATATTAGCACACTGTCCCATTTCATGAGAAAATTGTGGGTTTTAGAGCTGCAGGTGGATGGAACAGGAAGGACTCTTGATCTTTGAATCCCTATCACCAAAGTCAGTTATGCAAGTGCCAGGCATTGTTCACTCTCTTAGCATATAAATCGATAATTTACTGTAATTGCATGAATGCACATGACAACACATCATGGTAAAGTTAACATATGCTTAAAACTTACCGCTTTCTTTTGTAGTCCATAATAAAAAAGAGCTGACATTTCTTGGAAATACCAGGCATACAGGTTATATAGCTGTGGTTTAATTCCATTGTACTGCTGTGTCATCATATTTGAATGAAAAAAACTTTTAAACAGAATAGAAAATCATATTCTGCATTTCTATACACACAATGAAATATCTGGCATCTGACATATAATGTTGGACGATTCCTTTTTGAGAATTATTTTAAATCATAGACTTTTTTAATGCCATAATTTTTCTATCTGGTTTTAACTTAGGCTCACTGCAGGGACAGTTCAATTTTGCATATTTTATAAGTACTTCTCAGCTTTTATATTCGACACCAATTCACTGGTTTATTTGCTGAACGCATTTTAATAGATAAATAATTTAGTTTTGCTAGTCAAGAGAAAGTGTCATAAATGCGACCCAAGAAAAAGCAATCTCTGAAAGAAAGTTGATCATTTAAACTAGCTCAATCTAGTTTTGCATGCCTGAAAACTGTATATAATACAAGGCGTGATGGAGATTGTGTAAATGATTAGTATAAACATCTATTACAACCAGAGACATGTCGTCCCGAATGTCCCCTGAAAACCATCATTCCTGGTTCAAACAGACATTTCCCACGATTCTTGACAGATTCTGGATCAGTTCTGAATGGTCTCTTTCTTGAAAGTCTTTCCCACTTATGGGGAAGAATATGTGGAAATTACTGACTAGAAAATAGTGGGTTAAGAGTTTTACAAACGAGGGGAGCTATTTCACAAATTTTCCTCCAACATTTTAGAAATAATACGTGTGAAAATTACAGAGTTCGAGACACATTGTATGTGCCCCTCCTTGGCATGCTGAACACTTTCACCCCCAAAAATTAGTGGCAAAAACTATCTGGGAAGACCCAGCAATGTGTCTTTTATCGCGATGAACTTTTTGGAATTTACACACTGAGATATGTGTGAATCATGCCCAGCTGTCACTCTGTGACAGCTAGTTTTTATTGATACTTAACGTACATGCGCGAATCTAATGTAATATTGAAAATACCCTGCCATTGAGGCTGGGAATGGGCAGGAGCTCAGTGGCTTTCCAAAGATGGCCTTAGTGGGTAACAAGCTAAAGTTTCCCTAGAATCCAGGTAACTAAGCCTTGAGGTTAGGGTCTGCCCATGAATGCACACAGACACACACACACATACACTCCTTAAGTCACACAGTCATCCTACACACCAGGTACTCACAGTCCACAGTGTAAACATCATTTTCACCATTTCTTGCGCCAACAACTGTGTGCTCTGTACACACCCCATCGGTACTGAAATGCAAACCAAAAAATGCTTTTTTACCCCCATGATTTGGCGCACTGCTACGACGTGCGGTGTTGATGATGCATTTGATTTGCTGCTCAAGACATTAAAGGATTTCACGGTAACATTGATTTCACATCTCTGATTCATAAAAGCTTCACTGCTCTCCTGCATGGCTGTTCAAAATGGTGATTAGTAACGGTCCAGTGAGCCAGGTTCCTGGTGTCCTGCTGGCTGTCTGGTTTTGCCAGTTTCCGGCCAAGACCAGTGGTCTGTGCTCCTGTCATGTCCTTAGCTCTGACCTTATTGGGACAGACAGAAATGGCTGCAGACCTCAGGTCACAGCCACTGTGGGCCTTGGAAGCATAGAATTGTAAATATCAAGGGGGATGTTTGGTGTATTATTCTGATTAACTTATTTTACTGTCCCAGAGGTCATTCTTCTATTTTTCTTACAAATGTTTTCTGCTTGGTATTAATGACAAAATCCTTACACGCTAAGCTACTCTTCAAGTTATAGTTATTCACCAGGGATGCTCCAAGAGCTGCAGGATGGGATGATAACAGATTCAAACAAAGACATAGGACATGATCAATGGACAGACGTACAAATAAATATTACGGACAGGTACTGATGCCCTAGGATGAATGTGATCATTATGTATGTCAAAAACGTACCAATAAGATCAACATTCATAAGATAAATACACATAAAGGCCAACTATGTTTGCAGGTGAAAATTACAAGTGCATGTTTATATGTCAAAGTTTTAGGCTAAGTTTGTCTTCCGCATTGTGCACTGTCATGCTAAACACCAGACAACCTACAAAGAGCTGGATCGTTTCGATTGGGGTGAATTTTGCTTACTTTGTGTAAAACGTAATGGATATCTTGTCGCATCCCTCTGTACAGTCCACCTGACGGAAATAGGCTCTCAGTTCCCCATTCACTTCAATCTTCTCTACATGATCAGCTGCTATGGCGATGGTGCGCCAATTCCCGGGGACCTACAGAAGACAGATCCCACTGGAAAGATGAGTGGATTTGTTTCTTGGTTTCTCTCTAACATCATCATACTTATGGCACCTACTTCAAGTCAGCAGGCAAAACTAAATCTAGTCTGACTTGTCAGTACTGAATTTTGACCCCTTCACGCTTGGAAATCATGCAAGAAGTCATAGCCCTGACTCGGATCCAGGAAGGACGCAAAGCATTCACAAGTTTTGAAATAGTCAAATGTGTGTCTTTGTGGAAACACTGACATTTCACTGAGCTTTTCATGTGGATGTGAATCTCACGGGTAGATGAAAAAGGTTTGGACATCAAGAGATTCTGTTAGGAATGGAGATAGAATGATGAATCCTGGGAAAGGATAACACACAGACACACACATACACACAGGAGAAGCTCGTCGGAGACAAGCTTGGCCGTGTTACCTTTGAATAGTCGATTGAGTCAGCACACGCCAGGCTGACAGCAAGCGCGAGGAGGAGAATCTGCATCATGCTGGAGCGGCCTTTCCTCTGGCAGGAGTGCAGGACAGGTGAGCTGCTGAGGGGAATCTGAGCCGATGCCTCTGTTATAGCCCGGCTCTGTACACGGCTTCTGGTCTACCAATGGCTCCTCCTCTGACCTTAAGCTCCGAAATTTCCTGCTTGGCAGAGATAGAGTTGTTTTGTGGACTTTTTGCTTTACCGTCAATGAGATTACTGTCAAGTGAAGAAAATATCACCTGAATAGCTGGTATTTTTGGCACATGGAGGAGAAAATATGTTAAGTGACATTTCAAGGACATTTGTGTTGTTGTGATTTATATCTCAAAAGCACACGCAAAAGATGAAGCAGAGAATATATACCAATAATGTTTGTATTATTTCTTCGGCTTCCAGAGAGAATGCTTACACTAACGTTCTAGGAATAGAGATGCACAATGTAAATGCATCAAATTAAAACACAGAATGGGATTTACCATTATCTGGACATCACACAGAGGAGTCTGTGTTTAGAGACTCACTTTAGGGTGGGTTTCATGGTAGAAGCTTTCAGTAGCAGAGATTACTAGGCAGGAGGTTCGTGGATTCAAATCCACTCTGGGCATCTTATGAGTTAGTTGGAACCTGATTAAATATTGTTAAAGACATATGCAAAATTGTTGGCGATATATTTTAGCGCTAAAATCCTGCGTTCAGTTTCCTATAGTAACTTATAAATATATTACTGGAATAAAATGAAAGAAATTTTTTTTAAAAACAGCCATTCCTTTCTTGTAGTGGAGTGTAATTCTTTCTCTCCTGCTGTTGAAAGCCAATGTTTGCAAACCGTCCTCTAAAAGTTTCAAAGGACATTCAAGGCAAATTAGATCAACCGAGGACAATCATTCTCAAAGCAAGTCAGGAAATGTACCGTTCAATCTACACTATCTAAATTTGAAGATAGTATTAACTGTGAAAAATAAATAAATGTGACATTAATAGAGACATAGATTATAAAGATACAGTAACTGCACTTGTCCTCAATAAATGGCATGAACTTTGTCACTAACACCAATCTTGAAATAGATGAGAAGACAGAGCTCGGCTGGTGTTGGAATCCCCTTCATCGGTGTCTAGAAATTCTGATCAAACGTTCTGAATGTTGCTAGTCAACACCAAGAGACTTGTAAAAGTCTGACGATGGGTCCCTGCCCACCTTCGTCACTGAATTTGTCACCTGCAAGTCCCAGCTCTTCCTGAAAGTCAAAATGACAATAAAAAATCAACATTTGACAGTCAGGAACTTGAGGTGGTCATAGCCGTGCAACTGAGAATGGGAGCTTTCCAAAAAAGGGTGATACAAACAGAAATCTTAGGGGATCTGTGTATTGTATCTCTGTGTGTGCACACTCGATTTCTCACTTGATTTTAATTTGAAATATTTGTTTATAATAGAAAATGTCAAACTCCCATAATATCATTGTTTCTGCAATATTCAGGGGTATTTACAGAATCAGTATGATCAATCCTTAAAAATACCTGTAAGGACTCATCGTAGTATCATTGTTTTTACAGACAGAGAGTACAAGAGATGGATTTGAAAAAACAGTAGAAACAAGCAAAATAAAGAGAAAATCTTGTATACCTTATTCTGATTGTATCGTTTTTCTAACATTGAGTAACTGCACGCAGGTGGAGAAGAAATGTATTTCTTTAGCAACACAATTTGTAATAGCTAAATCTTGGAAATAACCAAAATGCCCAACTTCAGAGTGGATGAAAAAATGTGATATTTCTGTACAATGGAATATTGCTCAGCTATAAAAAAGGATGACCTTGAGGCCTTCATAGGTAAATGGAGGCAACTTGTGGTGTCCTCATAAGTGAAATAAATAAGAATCATATTTACAAATATCACATTGTGTCTCTAGCATAAAAAGTAATGGGCTGTAGGAATAATAAAACCCAAAATGTGTAATTGCTATTGTAAAAAAGAGAGAAAAAGAAAGTGCTCCAAAGGATATAATTGCATGTACGTTTAAGTGTGTAGGATTGATAATAATATTACTAAGGTTTTTGTTGGATCATTGAACACAACTGTTTGCAGTCTCACTGTTTGAATGTCCACTTTGTATGCTTTAATTTTGTAACTTGAACAACTACTTCTAATAGCACACTATGTTATTTATCAAGTAGTAATTTGTTACTGTTTATTTCTTTGAAATTCTGTATTATTTCTACTTTTTTATGTTTTGCTTTGATAAATTTTTTTAAAAAATAATGCAAATGAGGAAAAAATGTATGTCCTTCACATGAGATTCATCCTTAAAATTTAGGAGGTAAGTGTGGGTTCTGTTTTAGAATGTTGGCAGATTTCAATGTAGACTATTGTGTGGGCCATACGGATCCCATTAACATACTATACTGACGTCTCAAGCCACGATATGTACAAATGGAGAGCACCTTGTTCACATTTAGAAAGTAATTTAATATCTACTCTCTTAGGAAACACACATTGTGCTTTGTCTTCCCTGCAGAAGTCAGGAATGAAAAGTAAATATCATTGCATGTAGCACATTAACCTTAGACTTTCCTCTTATATCCCCTAAGGACGTTTGTGCAGTACAGTTTAAGCTTCGATTATTCCTAATCTCATTAAGATACGGAAACTTTCAAGTACGGGCCATCTATGACAAACAGGATGTGTTGCAAAAACCTGAAATGTATCTTCAGATGAGAAGCAATATTTCCAAAAATGTGACGTGTGACTCGCAATACGATAAAAGCTTCATCAGCTCAAATTCCTTCCTGTGACTCAGTAATCCTCAGCTCTGCAAAAGACGGAAGATGGCCCCCGGGTGACCAGGCCCTGCTAGGTACTTGTGTATTTTGTCCACTTTGTGCTGATCAGGAATTCCCTTTGGAATAACATTTCCAAACGTGTTGAGTGTAGAGTGGTCTTAAGGTGATTCTTTGTCTCCTCTGTGTGTGTGTATTTTCTTACTTTATTTTTTTTTAAATTTTATTTAAGGAGAAAAAGAAAAAAAAGCAGAAAAAAGGGTACAAGTTATATAGAATTTAAAAAAAAATAAACAGTAGGAAATCACTAGTTAATAGATTACATATTGTCATTTAGAAATAGTTGGTTCAAGTTACAAAATTAAAGCATATAAAGTGGACATTCCAACAGTGAGACTACAAACAGTTCTGTTCAGTGATCCAACGAAACTCTGTGATATCATTTTCTATCTTATACACTTAAATATGCATGCAGTTATATCCTTTAGAGCACTTTCTTTTCCTCTCTTTTGTACAATAACAATTACACATTTTGGGTTTTATTAGTCCCACAGTTCTTATTACTTTTTTTTGAAGAGAGTAAAACCAAATGTGACATAACAGAACAGAGTCAGTCAAATCAAAAGGGTGGACGTAATATATAATGTAAAAACATAATACAAGGTGATCAACAATGGTTACCATAATGCCTCTTGCTATCTTAAAAAGAATTGCCTATATCATCAGTTATAATAAAATTGAACAAAACAGTAAAGAACAAGACCAATAAAACCAAAACATTGGAGACATTGCAGGACTTCTAAAGAAGATAATAGTCAACCAGAATGGGCGTCATAATGAATCTTATTGTCTTCACAGTTGTTGCCTATATTTTTGAACTTGATTCTATCAAGCAAAACAGAATAGAGGAAAATCAGTCAAAACAAGATGGTGAGAGCAATACAGGGTTTCAAATCAAGTTAGTAGCAGGATATATTATAGTACCCACTTTGATTTCCTTACTTAACTTTCTGAATGTATTGGATTTAAGGAGAACGCAGGACAATATAGCTTCATTTTCATTAAGCTGTATCAACCCTTTAAAAAATTTACCTTATTTGACTGCAGATATGCATATGTAATTGATCAAAATGATATATTGGAATTTGTACTGTACTTTATAACATTTCAAAAAAATCCTTCTGTGGGAGACAACTCCAGTGACACGCTTTGAATCCAAAACAATTGCTGTGACTTTGATTAGTTGGAGACTCACTTCCTTATACTGATATGTAAAAGGCTGGCTGGGGTATTTCTGTCTCTCTTCAATTGGCTCTGAGCATTGCAAATAAGGCCACCCGAGGTGCTAATATTGTGCAAAGTCTATAGCCATCAGAGCGTCCTGTTTGCTCCTTGTGTGGTGCTCTCCACAATACAGGATTGAGCTGGTGAGATGTTAGAGCATATAATAGCTCTGGGAATGTCAACTGGGTACCAGAGCCTTAAAATAGGAGGCTATTACTTCCCAGGGCACAAGAGTTTGCATACCACAAACTGAAGTGATAGCCCGCCAAAGAATTCCACTGCTACCTTAATTGGATTATGTAAATTGAGCCTTCTGCATATCTTTATCTCGGCAATTTACAGAGATGCCAATCTTGCACCTGGCCACCCAACTCAAGTTACTCAGTAATCCTGAACATTCTCACTATCACTCATCCTGAGCCACCCCTCTTCTTCACAAGATAATAAATGCTGGGGGAGCCCTAGGATCCAGGCAGTTGTCTGCATGTCCTCATGGGGATGGGATTGGGTTTAGGACCCCTTGACTGTCCTTAACTTGGAACATGTCTTGCTGTCTTCACTCTCATCGTGGGTTGGATTGGTGGTAGATTGGAATTAACTTGCTGGGATTCCAATAACATTTCAATGGGATTACAGATATAACTTTTTGGATTGTGAAGAAAACTAGAAAGAGGATTATAATACTTGGATAACTGTACTCAATATTTGGGTTTACAATAACCTTTGATTCCTATATCTTATTCAGGAGTCTGTGTCATCACTGAAGTTCATGGGACTCCACACCGAGGGAACAGATCTATGTATAGTTTAATGTGGACCGACTTCTTTTATCTTTCCTTCTGTGAAAAAAAAGACCCAGCAATTGTAACATATTGTTCCTTGGAAACTGAAGGAGAGGTCCACAGTCCCTGGCCGTGGGAAGATTTCTTTGTAGGAGACAGAGATGCCATGCTATAGGCACAGCAACTGACAGGGAAGGCAGGATATGGGCAGATGGTTCCT